CCTGTCACCATGCTGTCTTCACTTGCTTCTTCCGAGACTATCTCTTCTGATTTCCAGACACAGAATTCAACGGAGAAATGAACAGAGAGAAAGAGACACAATGATACATACTTTCATACAATCAGAGAGACAGAGAGAGTGTGTTTGTGCGTGTGTGTATGTGTATATGTCACCTGAATTATTCCGAACCAGTTGTTGTGAATCATGTCACGGGAACTATTCACACACATGCAGGTCACTCTCACTCACACACTCACTCCTTCACTCACTCAAAAACACACTCACACAGGATGACACACACACACACAGGCACACAAACACACACACACACACGCATTCTCCTTCACATATCCTCATTCGCCTACACATGCACTCAGTCTTCGACATCCACATCGTAGATGAATGCTCCGTGCATTCAATGTGTATTCTGTGTCCGCGCTTATCAACACAATGTGCAATTCATCCAAATCCCTCAACATCATCACCATCATCAACAACAACATAATCCACATCATCAGGATTATCGTGATGGTAATCATCATCATCATCATCATCATCATCATCATCATCATCATCATCATCCATCATCATCATCATCATCATCATCATCATCATCATGATTTTATGCAGGCGAAAATTGTAGAATAATAAAAGAGGATGCCTGTGTCACCCACACACTCTCACACACAACAACCGTCATCTATCTCTCTATCTCTCTCTCTCTCTCGCTCTCTCTAACGCAAATGCAAATCTCATCTTCCACTCACCTGTCACCATGCTGTCTTCACTTGCTTCTTCCGAGACTATCTCTTCTGATTTCCAGACACAGAATTCAACGGAGAAATGAACAGAGAGAAAGAGACACAATGATACATACTTTCATACAATCAGAGAGACAGAGAGAGTGTGGTTGTGCGTGTGTGTATGTGTATATGTCACCTGAATTATTCCGAACCAGTTGTTGTGAATCATGTCACGGGAACTATTCACACACATGCAGGTCACTCTCACTCACACACTCACTCCTTCACTCACTCAAAAACACACTCACACAGGATGACACACACACACACACAGGCACACAAACACACACACACACGCATTCTCCTTCACATATACTCATTCGCCTACACATGCACTCAGTCTTCGACATCCACATCGTAGATGAATGCTCCGTGCATTCAATGTGTATTCTGTGTCCGCGCTTACCAACGCAACGTGCAATTCATCCAAATCCATCAACATCATCACCATCATCAACAACAACATAATCCACATCATCAGGATTATCGTGATGGTAATCATCATCATCATCATCATCATCATCATCATCATCATCATCATCATCATCATCATCATCATCATCATCATCATCATCATCATCATCATCATCATCATCATCATCATGATTTTATGCAGGCGAAAATTGTAGAATGATAAAAGAGGATGCCTGTGTCACCCACACACTCTCACACACAACAACCGTCATCTATCTCTCTATCTCTCTCTCTCTCGCTCTCTCTAACGCAAATGCAAATCTCATCTTCCACTCACCTGTCACCATGCTGTCTTCACTTGCTTCTACCGAGGCTATCTCTCCTGATTTCCAGACAGAGAATTCAACGGAGAAATGAACAGAGAGAAAGAGACACAATGATACATACTTTCATACAATCAGAGAGACAGAGAGAGTGTGTTTGTGCTTGTGTTTGTTTGTGATGTGTTTTGCGGATAAATGTATGTCACTTGAATTTTTGTGATTCGGTTGTTGTTGAATGATTCGTGCATGTATGCATCGTTCTATCCATTTTACCAACAATGATTATTATTTCTTGACTTCAAATTATTGATAAAGTTTATTTGGATGAAGGAGGTTTAGATTGTGTCTGCTTGTAAAAGTCTTTTATGCCATACTCTAGACACTTCACCGTAGTTCACGAAGTGGTATGGTGCCTTCAATTCAGAATTTGTTCGGATTTAACGGTAATTCAAAATAGGAGTAATAGCCTGTCCGAAGTGGATAAGCCAACCCTGTATGTTCTCAGTAAAGCCAACCACTTTTAGTTCAATGCAGGTCATACGAGTGATAAGAACGAGGTAACTAGAAGTGGACCAGATATATTAAACGTCACGTATATAATGCCAACCTAGGGAGCAGACTAGAGGTATATATATCTAAAACACAAAAGACGACATTGTAGAAAAGGGAAATGAAGGAATGCGGCTAAGACCAATCCAAATGCGAATAGGGAGAATTGGTGGATAAAACTTCCTTGAAAAGATTCACAGATTTCGAAATCATAATGAATGATGGAATACAAATCACATCAGAATGTCAGGCTTATACATTGCTCATAATGAATATCCTACATGAAAACGACAGAACATTGACTCACCTGTCAACAAGCTAACATCATTCTCGTCTCGCAATGTTGTCACAGGAGCTTCAAAGAGAGACAAAGAGAAAGACAGAGGTAGATGAAGTGACCTAGTGGAGAGAAAGCGTTATTCCGTTCGGCTTCTTTTCATAACGAATGATAAAACAAAATAATTCAGCTCATGCTCATTTCATTTCTTCTAAATTTCTTTCTTACCATAATTTCAACTCGTTCACCTTCATTCGTACAGATTCCATCTGTCGTTTACTAGTTTATTTTACTGTCATTCTTTGTAAGATTAAATATTCTACACCATGCATTCAGATTGACCACATCAGATCATTTTAGTTCGTTTCTCGCATTTTCGGAGTGGGAAACAGTATTCAGTCAGTTGATTGATCAAACATTCACTAGAATGCAGTTAGTTTCTTCACATACATCTCAACTGTTTGTAAAATGTATTGGTAAACTACTTTGAAGAACAAGCCTGGTGCTGCTCGGTCAAAGTTAATATTTAGTCTAAGATAGCTGTGAACACTTGTCTCTAGAATGAAGTTTCTCCACTGATACTCATACATTCTGTCCGTATGAAAAAGAAATTACAATGGATTTTAAAATACTTACTACTAACTGTAGTTTTCTATAAAAGAAATAAAAGTTCAAACATCACTGAAGAGACATGTACCAAATTTACACTGACAATATGCAGTTCAATATGAAAAGTTCAGTTTATAGGCAATATTACACAGAAAAAAGCAAGGCTGTCAGCTTTAATTTGTTACTTCTCATTAGTGTCACATCAAATCCTCGATGTCTCCTCTCTGGCCGTTCAAACACTCTGTTGCAAGTGATCATATAATACTGTGCGATCTGGTCAAATTCAACGCATGCGTGGCTATACATCTGTTGTTGAATATCTGGTCATTTCGACTGAGTCCCTTTAACTTTCTCTATAAACGACTGATTCGCTATCTCTTACAGTTTTCATATTTGATCAGTGCATTGTATTATCATTCCTACCTCCGAAATGTTTGCATCTTTGCAAGCTGGTCTGCAAACACTGTGCTTCTCTAGAGAAACGTGATATGGTCAGAATCTTATGAGATGAAAGTCATCACAATCTTTTATGTAGTCTGTGTCTTTTACTACATTCAAGCAGTAATAAGTTGCATACAGAATCTTATATAACAATGATGACTGTTATGTGTGACCATGTATTCGATATTTTCCAGTACTTGCTTCGAGTTTCCCAGAAACGTCTTCATTTTCCTCCATAACGACGGCCACTTTCCACAGTGTTTTCTCTTAGCAATTACTATTATTGTGCTGTCTATCAACATTCCCCCGCACAGACTAATTCATATCGATGGAATAGGAATACAGGTTGATTGTGGAAGACTACTTGACTTCATCTCGGCCTAAAGCTTGAGCTATTCTTGGTACAAGCTGTTGCAAGTTCGACAGAGGCCGTATACCGTCTCAAACTTCAACTGAGTCTTGTATTCGGAAGTAGCATATGAAACGAAAGTTTGGATGGTGCATTACACCACTCAAGAATTCTGTCTTACTTTTTCACAGCCCTCAAGTGGTTGAATGAAAGTGAACAGGTTTCGTATACCGAACCACTTGGAAACCACGCCATCAGAGAGTATCTGAAACTCCTAGGAAAATTCAAATCTTGACATGGAGAAATTCAAGACCACCTATCGGCTTGTAGCACAACTTCAACTGTTTTCTTAACAGACAAACCGATGAGCACGCATATTTCTTCCAGATAGTATGTTAACACAATGAGAAAAAATTAATACTGGGTGTTGACTGAAGATGAAATGAAAATTTAATCCGTGGCAGGATTCAAAACAGCTCTCTTGCTCACTGGTTCAATGCAAGTCTATGAAACCACGGCTATTCCTGGCAGTCAAACTGATAGAAAGATGAAGTTAAATCAAAACTCATGAATTAGTAAGTTTCCAAGTTATTCGATCAGAAACGAGAAAACTCACGTTTATGAATTGACCATTGTGTTCCAACATAAAATGGATAGGGGAAAAAATGGAACCGCTTTGTGAGGACTTCGAAAATGTAAAATACGCTTTTAAATTTTTTCGTCAGCATGCAATTATAGATTATTTGAAGAAATGGTCTGAAATGAGGAAAGTTACTTAGGTCTGTGCTCGACTTCATAGCTTGTCTAATAATTCAAATGTCCAGGTATGGTAGGCAAAATGTAAACCATCATATACTAGTAAAAAGTAAGTTGACAGCCGTGAACGCAAACTGACTACTTTCAAGAGTACTAAAGGAGAGAAATGGGGAAAGTGAAATGGGTCGTCAGACTATTGTAGTTACCTTTCATTGATCTGCTCACGGATTGTTGGCACATTCAAAGAAAAGCACGAGTGGAGACTTTTCATGTGCACTCAGGAAAAGACAAATTGCTTTTGCAACAAAATGTTAATGCAAAAAATGCATAATTTACTACTGACTTGACTGAATTTACACGACACCAAAAGTTTGATTGCGATTCAAGTATTCATTCGCAAAGTTTTCATTTATTCCTTAATGTCTCTAAATCAAACAGAAAGTAACACTTTCGCTTCATTGTGATCCGCTACACTTACAACTCAAGTATCAGAGATACTGAGTTTTACCCATCAGTGAAATACAAAGAGTTGGACATGAGCCGATTAAGAATTCTCTTAATACTGATAATCGCTGTGATTCATAAATATGATGGGCTCAAGGGAAAATGTGCTGAAAAACAGTAACCAGTTACTCCACGGTCGTCTCTGGTGATTTCATGTAGGAAATATTTCATGGAATTTATAATGATTTTACCCAATATTGGAAGAGCCATCAACCCTTCATGTTGGGCGGTTAAAATTAACTGTCTTTCAGCTCCTTCTTCTCCTTGTATCTCAATCATTGAAAATTCTCTCCTCCTATCTTCTGTGAAATGCATCTCGAGTGGCTGGTTCGATAACCCCTGGAATATCAACACACGGTCATTTTCACTACAGAATGATTTATCTAGCTCCCAATTCACTTCCAAACTTCTGCTTGGTTTCATTGTGATATGGGCATTTTTGATCCTCGGAACTGTAGGAAACAGACGAAAAAAATGTGAGGAAATAATCAGCACAGAGTCAGTATTCGCACTGACGTCTACTTGCATGAGTACTGAAAATGTGTGAGAATGAACTGAATGTCGTTGTTTTAAAAAAATTCTCATCACCCATAAATATTAACTTCATGTATAATAGCATCATCTAAGATGAGTGAAGTGAGCTATAATATGATTAAACGTTTATTCGAAATACAGTCTACTAACTTGGTTTAGAGATAGTACCTGCAATTCAACTTTAATACTGGCAATTGATAACACTCACCACGTTTGTACGTTAAGCTCCGGTGGTCAACGACGGAATTATAAATAAAACCCACATCCATGCCTACAATGCTGAATTGTTCAAATTCACAGGCTTTCCCGATGACATGCATATCTCCACTGGATGCGTTTCTTCTAACAGAAGTAGTGATGTCAAAACCCCAGTCAACATTCTGTTCCAAAACCAGCTCGTCGATATTGTCTTGATGAAATGGAGACCATCCGAATACAAGTTCGTTCGTTCTTTCCTGAATTAACCAGAACTTTGTTTCTTTGTCACCTACACAGAAAACAGGAATATATGTACGAGACGCAACCCGAATTCTCTCTGAAGTATGGATGAGCATAGTGACTGCATTATATAAATATTATAAAATGTGGATAAGCCAGCAGCATTCAGGCAAAGATAACTGTCCCAGTCACGATGAACTGAGGCAACCAGTGACTACATCCCTATATGTTACCTGGAGACAAACATGAATACTTTAGTGAGGCTGTTTGATAACGTCTGTTTGATAATGGCACTACAGAAGAACGTATTGAAAAGCATGTGTCAAGTAGGTACATACTGAGGATAAGCGACGAGCACAAAACCTAAAGCAACAATGAGCCTTCCAGCTTGGTCACCAAACTGCAAAATACTCAGCAAAACTGGGGAAGCATTCAAGACTAGATAACACAAAATCGGTTCCTTTCCACTGAATAATCAATCTACGAATAAAAATTGAACATTCCTCCTCCCAATAAAAGCTTGCCATCCGTCCCCAAGCTATTGAAAACTTCAAAAATACTTCCTTGACAAGTATTCGTTGCACCTATTATACTCAGTGTCACCAATGCACTTACCACCATACAGTGTCAGTGACTCCACAGTAGGAACGTATATGCTCACAAACACACCTCATATCCTGAATGAAAAAAACAACAAAAATCGCGACGTTCGCAACAAGGCAGGATTCGTATGACGAAAGTGTATGACACAGGTGAGTGTTCAAATGTCTACACACATGTGAACACCACTCGTGTGACACCACACACAGAAAAAGATGATGCACGAACATCTGATTGTTTGCACGTAACTAAGAGAAAGGTGTCTTACTCCATTGATGTATGCAGCCTTCCTCTCAGCCAAACACCTCATTCATCACGCATTCTTCCTCCTTAGTCCTTATCAAGTTCACGAAACTCTACTATAAAATAAACCATCAAACGCAATTGTCTCCATATTTCGAAAACCTAGCATGTTACAATATGGTTAGATAATTCAAATGTCATCATGCAACGTCAAATATTCAATCGTACCTGCTAGGTATGCAGCTTCATATTTCCCTGCAACTTTCTGTGACGGTGTGACTTCTGAATTCTCTGGAAACGAATTGAAGTTTACACAGAGAAACTCATCATTTGTCAATACAATATAAGTAATGTGAAGGAGTAACCACTCGTTCTTCTGTTGAAGGCTTGTATTTTAGACTATACGGATGAATGAAACCGAGCACACAATGGATGAGATGGGCAATATTGAAATTCTGAAGCAGACTATGCATTCGATGAAAGTGGAAATGAGAGGGAATTGTGTGTGTGCCGTGAACGTTAACACTTGATGAAGGTGTGGAAAGAAATAGATGGAAGCCAGCGAATTCGTAACGAATCGAGATTCAAAATGATTTCTACACGTTGACTTCTGGGATGTGAATGCACACACCATGCACAAATGACAAAGAGCATTTTCTTTATGAAAGCAATTAGTTAGGAACAAAATATAATCAAGGAAAGAAAGCATAGATGTGCGGAAAAGGAAGAAATAACGATGAATACTTTATGCTAATCACTCAACATTTGCGTAAACGTCAGGAGACAAGAAAGAAAGATGTGGAACAGAATGTGAATAACTGTCCCAGAATAAATGCGAGTGCTGGAAATACCTCTAAGGAAATGAACATTCAAAGAATGAGGAGAAGAAAAACTGGCCACAAAAGGTAAGCATGACGAAGAAAAGAGAAATAAAACCAAGCTAGAAAATCAATTGAAGCCTACCGATAACTATTATAAATAAATCGAAAATATGCGACACCAAATGAAAAGATGTGAGAAGTGAGGAAAAGCAATTAGACAGAGAACCAAAAAAACAAGGGACGGACAAAAAGAAAATGAAAAACTGCCAGAAATTAGATAAAATAGAGAGAAGCATAACTGCAACAATCAACACAAATATTCTCAAATCATAATGATATCACTATACTCAAATGATAACATCAAAGCTGAAAGTAGTAAAAACAGACAAAAGCGATACGTCACCAATAGGATAGCTACAAAAGAAGCAAAAACAGATTTATCAAGAATAAATTATCATTATTATCTATCACTTGGGTTCCTATTGGAACGTAAGGCCTCAGTAGCACGTCGCCAATTCACTCTGTTCCCTGCAGTCTTTCCAACCTGGTTCCATAACTGCCCAGAAGCCCTCATTTCTTCCTCACACCATCTCCTCCATGTCACCCTCGACACCGACACCCAACTCGTTTCCCCTTTTGGGTTACTCTCGACGACCTGGCCTACTGCGTGATGTCCCCAAACGGTCTTCTCAGTATATGCCCAATCCATCTCTACTTTCCTCTGCACATTTGTTGGGTGATGGCATCTTGGTTGGTTCGTCTTCACGCCAGAGTTTCTTCTTGCTTATTCTTTCCGGCCATATGATCTTCAGTATCGAGCCAGCGTAGGCGGGAACTATTAATCTATGACTGTAGTTTGTTGAAATGCTTTTCGTAACGCACCAACTCTCTCAACCATCACATGAAACACTGACTTGACTGAATTAGTGTTGAAAATCCAGATCTTGTTCTTTATGCTGAGTGGAGTGGAGTGGAGTGCAGTGCAGTGCAGTGCAGTGCAGTGCAGTGCAGTGCAGTGCAGTGCAGTGCAGTGCAGCAGATCTCCACACTGATTTCAGGTTATTGAGGACCTGTCCTACTTCTTCGATCCTGGCCTTGACGTCTTCATCTGTGGCACCTGTAGTTTAAATGATGCTGTCTAGGTGGATGGAAGAGACAACTTCCTTTAGGTTTCTCCCTATCATGGTGATTCGTGCTTGTTGTTGTTAGTTGGGTATCTTCATCACCTCCGTCTTCTCTACGTTCACCTGAAAGAAGTCCTGTCTTCGCTGCCTAGCCACTTCTGTCAACTTGTTGGCTTTCGCCAGTAGGTCTTCGAGTTTTCGTCATATTAAACATAAATCATCGTTGGCGAAATCCAAATCTTCTTCTGGGGTCTCCTCATCAGTCAAACAGCGTATGCCCCTCTTCTCACCCCTCACAGCTTTTCACATGATCCAGTATAGTCGACCACAATCAGGAAGATCATTGGTGATGGTAGGCGCAGCCTCGCTTTACTCCTGTCTTCACATCAAAGGGATCACTGAGCTTTCCATTATGAATCACTTGCCATTTGACGTCATCATATAACTGTTGAATGGTGTTGATAAAGGTTTGTGGCACAAAAGCCGTAGTGTTGAAGCAGTCGCCAAATGACTCCTCAGTCGGCGCCAACCAGGGCCTTTACAAAGTCGATGACTGCCATTCTATGCTGTGTTCTATGATGATACGTAGCGTTACAGTTTGATCTGCACACGATTTGTACTTCCTGAATCCAGCCAACCTGTTCCTGTCGTAATTTCGAATCCAATGCATTTTCCAGTGTCTCCAAGATGATGCGGCTTAATATTTTGCTTGCTTTGGATGGACAGCAGCATGATTCCTCGCCATTTCTTGCAAAGACTTCGAGTTAGACAAGGTAGCCCTTCTTCCAATCGGCAGCTACCTTTCCTTCTTTCCAAACCCTCTGTAGTAGTGGTGTGAGCATGTCCGCTGCTGTTGTCTCTGCATCTGTTTTCACTACTTCTGACGGAATTTCATCTGGTCCTGCTGCTTTCTCGAATTTCAGCAACTTTATGGTGTTCACTTCTTCGCCTTTTATCGGAGGGTCTGTGTTCACTTGGAATTCTTCGGTTTCTGATGGTATTTCTGGACGAGTTGCAGGTGATGGTGGTGGTCAATTCAAGAGTTTTTTGAAGTGAACAGCCCATCGCTCTCTTTGTTTCTACTCTTTGGTAACTATGTTTCCTTCACTATCTTTCATTGGTTTCACCTGCGTTGATCTCTTCCCAGATAGTAAGCTGGTTATTTGGTATCGTGTTGTCAGGTCTCTCCTACCGACAGCCTCTTCTGCTTCACTTGCCAATGTGTCGTAGAAGTGTCTTTTGTCTTTCCGCGCACTCCTCTTCACTTCTTTGTCCAGTGTCTTACACGTTGTACTCAGCTCTTCTTTTCGTTGTCCAACCCTGCACTGCACTGCTTCATCTTCTGCTTTACCATCTACCTCTCACTTCTCTATCAGCTTCCATATGTCCGTCCAGATCCATTCATTGTCTCGTTTCTTCCCCCTTCCTAACACGGTCTGGCAAGTTTCCTTCGACGTCTCTTTTAAAGAGTTTCAGTGTTTTCAGTTTCAACCAGTTCTCCACGGAGATGTTGCTTAGTGTCTCCCATTTTGACATGATAGCTGACGTGAACATGTCATTTGTAGTTAAGTCCCTCAGTTTCTGTTCTTGGCGTTGAACGTGAACTGTTGTCTATCACCAACTTCTGTGAAGGCTTTCAACTTGGTTTTAAGGTAGGTTCCTTGCACTAATAGTGAGTGGTGTGAACCTACTTCTGCTCCCCTTCTTCATCTGATCTTGTGTCCAGTAGGCTGCTTCTCCACTTTCTTCACATTCAGATGAAGTCCATCTGATTTCTAGTGTGGTGTGTCCATCTGGTGAAATCAAATCCATGTCGCTCTCTTTGTGAACATCCTTGTGTTTGTATACACTGCCTCCAACCACCAAATCGCTGAATGTGCAGAAATCTGCAAACAGTTTTCTATTGTCATTCATTTCACGGAGTGCTTCTCGACCCATGATCAGTTCACTTCTTGTATTGTTCGATCCCAGTTTGGCATTCATGTCACCCCACCCATTAGAATTTCGATGTCGCAAACTGGAATCTTGTCCAGTACTGCTTGCAGTTGTCTACATAATTCCTTCTTCTCTTCTTCTCTTTATCTGCATTATTTGTAGTTGCTTAGCGAGGTATTGCATGATTGTGACTTTCCTTCCTTCTGATTTGAAACTTGCTGTCATGATTCTACAGAAGGAGATTCGTTTCCACTGCATGAGAGCCCTTGGTGCTCTCGGGAACATCATGATAGTCACTCCATAACTCAGTGTGTTTGCGGCTGGCATCTAGGTGACAATAATCTATGACTCTCAACTTGAAGGTTGGGTGAGTCCACTTTCACTCCACCTGCTTCGCAGATTCCTTGTAATTCAATGCTATGCCTCCTCATCTCTTTTGCAAAATGGGCAGCCCTGCTAGCTTAATAAATTGTGCGGACATTCCATGTCACTGTTCTTAGATTCGCTCAAAAAGATGGATGAAAAATCGGCAAAGTGGCGTCCTGAATGCTTTCACCGAGTGCCGGCATTTAGTCTGACCACTTACAGCAAAAGATAAGTTTATTTTCACTTAAAATATTTGCCGTAAAATTAAGAAAAAGAAAAACAAACAAGAGGAAAGCATGATGAAAATCCACAATCGGAAAAGAGCAGACAAAAGGAGAAAAACTGAAAAAAAGATTGAAAAGGCATATTACACAAAAACAAAAAAGACATAGCCTCACCCTCGCGCAAACAGTGTTGCTCTGAAGGACCGACCTCATGCACACACAAACACACAAGTGTGCAGATAGTAGTGCTCACCTCACTGCACTCAACTGATTCGACGTGGACCAGGATCCGTGGTGCATGCAGATGTGACAGTGACAAAGTGAGTGTCAGAGTGAGACTGAGAGTGAGATTGCGAGTGAGTTTCAGAGTGACTGTCACTGCGAGAGTTGAGATAGTGAGTGATAGTGAGTGCAACGTTCAGTGTGAATGTGTATTTGAATGTGAATGTGAATATAAATATGAATACGAGTTGCATTTCGACTGGGAATTTGAATGGATGTACATGGTTGAGGTGGTCGTTCTATCTCATGGAATAGGTTGATAAGTGTACACAATGTGTGACATACATGTGGTGTGAAGAGCGCTCAAGCAGACCTTAGTGTACTTATAAACAGCGAAGAAGAATCAGAGATTGCAAAACCTAAGAAAAAGTGAGACAGAATAACCCATGAAATCCCCTAGAACGACATCTCAGCAAATGACGTATTAACGTTCAAATAAACAGACAAAACAACACATCCACTGAGTCATCGAAATCCACCTCGAGGATACATGTTCCGTGCATACAATGCGTATCTGTGTCCGAGTTTATCACCACAAACTGCAAGTCACGAAATCCATCATCCAAATCATAATCGATATAATCATCACCATGAACCAAATCGGAATACAAAACATCAAAATTAAAAAAAATAATCAACAACATGGTAACAAACATACCCATAAACATCATCACAATTTTAAAAAACTTCAACACCATCAACATCACGGTAATCATCATCATCATCAGGTTTATAGACACAAATTGTGGAATGAATACACGAAGAAGCCTGTGTCACCCACACACTCTCACACACAACACCCATAATCTCTCTCTCTCTCTCTCCCTCTATCTCTCTCGCTAACGCAAATGCAAATCTCATCTTCCACTCACCTGTCACCATGCTGTCTTCACTTGCTTCTACCGAGGCTATCTCTCCTGATTTCCAGACAGAGAATTCAACGGAGAAATGAACAGAGAGAAAGAGACACAATGATTCATTCAGTAATTCATACAGAGAGACAGAGAGAGTGTGATTCTGTGTGTGTGTGTGTGTGTGCACGCCTATGTATATATATCACATGAATTATTCTGATTCCGTTGTTGGTGAATCGTGTCACGGGAACTATTCACACACATGCAGGTCACTCTCAATCACTCACTCACTCACTCACTCACTCACTCAAAAACACACTCACAAAAGATAACGCAAAACACACACACATTCCCTTTCACATATCCTCATTCGCCTACATATGCACTCAGTCTTCGATATCTACCTCGTGGATAAATCCTCCGTGCATACAATGTGTATTCAACGTCAACCTGTTTTAACACAATGTGCAATTAATGCAAATAAATGCGAATCAAAATAAACATCATGAGCAGTATATTTTAGAGGTGGAAAATGTCGAAGAAATACAGGCGGATGCCTGGGTCATCCGCACACTGAGCACAACACACTTACTCTCTCCACTCTCTCTCTATCTCTCTCACTCTAACTCGCACTCTCACTCTCTAACGCAAATGCAAATCTCATCTTCCACTCACCTGTCACCATGCTGTCTTCACTTGCTTCTACCGAGGCTATCTCTCCTGATTTCCAGACAGAGAATTCAACGGAGAAATGAACAGAGAGAAAGAGACACAATGATTCATTCAGTAATTCATACAGAGAGACAGAGAGAGTGTGATTCTGTGTATGTGTGTTTTTGTGTGTGTGTGTGTGCACGCGTATGTATATATATGCATGCGAAAGTTGTAGAATAATAAACGAGGATGCCTGTGTCACCCACACACTCTCACACACAACAACCGTCATCTATCTCTCTATCTCTCTCTCTCTCGCTCTCTCTAACGCAAATGCAAATCTCATCTTCCACTCACCTGTCACCATGCTGTCTTCACTTGCTTCTACCGAGGCTATCTCTCCTGATTTCCAGACAGAGAATTCAACGGAGAAATGAACAGAGAGAAAGAGACACAATGATACATACTTTCATACAATCAGAGAGACAGAGAGAGTGTGCTTGTGTGTATGTATGAATATATCTCACGTGAATTATTCTGATTCGGTTCTTGGTGAATCGCGTCACGGGATCTATTCACACACATGCAGGTCACTCTCAATCACTCACTCACTCACTCACTCACTCACTCAAAAACACACTCACAAAAGATAACGCAAACACACACACATTCCCTTTCACATATCCTCATTCGCCTACATATGCACTCAGTCTTCGATATCTACCTCGTAGATAAATCCTCCGTGCATACAATGTGTATTCAACGTCAACCTGTTTTAACACAATGTGCAATTAATGCAAATAAATGCGAATCAAAATAAACATCATGAGCAGTATATTTTAGAGGTGGAAAATGTCGAAGAAATACAGGCGGATGCCTGGGTCATCCGCACACTGAGCACAACACACTTACTCTCTCCCACTCTCTCTCTCTCTCTCTCACTCTAACTCGCACTCTCACTCTCTAACGCAAATGCAAATCTCATCTTCCACTCACCTGTCACCATGCTGTCTTCACTTGCTTCTACCGAGGCTATCTCTCCTGATTTCCAGACAGAGAATTCAACGGAGAAATGAACAGAGAGAAAGAGACACAATGATACATACTTTCATACAATCAGAGAGACAGAGAGAGTGTGTTTGTGCTTGTGTTTGTTTGTGATGTGTTTTGCGGATAAATGTATGTCACTTGAATTTTTGTGATTCGGTTGTTGTTGAATGATTCGTGCATGTATGCATCGTTCTATCCATTTTACCAGCAATGGTTATTATTTCTTGACTTCAAATTATTGATAAAGTTTATTTGGATGAAGGGAGGTTTAGATTGTGTCTGCTTGTAAAAGTCTTTTATGCCATACTCTAGACACTTCACCGTAGTTCACGAAGTGGTATGGTGCCTTCAATTCAGAATTTGTTCGGATTTAACGGTAATTCAAAATAGGAGTAATAGCCTGTCCGAAGTGGATAAGCCAACCCTGTATGTTCTCAGTAAAGCCAACCACTTTTAGTTCAATGCAGGTCATACGAGTGATAAGAACGAGGTAACTAGAAGTGGACCAGATATATTAAACGTCACGTATATAATGCCAACCTAGGGAGCAGACTAGAGGTATATATATCTAAAACACAAAAGACGACATTGTAGAAAAGGGAAATGAAGGAATGCGGCTAAGACCAATCCAAATGCGAATAGGGAGAATTGGTGGATAAAACTTCCTTGAAAAGATTCACAGATTTCGAAATCATAATGAATGATGGAATACAAATCACATCAGAATGTCAGGCTTATACATTGCTCATAATGAATATCCTACATGAAAACGACAGAACATTGACTCACCTGTCAACAAGCTAACATCATTCTCGTCTCGCAATGTTGTCACAGGAGCTTCAAAGAGAGACAAAGAGAAAGACAGAGGTAGATGAAGTGACCTAGTGGAGAGAAAGCGTTATTCCGTTCGGCTTCTTTTCATAACGAATGATAAAACAAAATAATTCAGCTCATGCTCATTTCATTTCTTCTAAATTTCTTTCTTACCATAATTTCAACTCGTTCACCTTCATTCGTACAGATTCCATCTGTCGTTTACTAGTTTATTTTACTGTCATTCTTTGTAAGATTAAATATTCTACACCATGCATTCAGATTGACCACATCAGATCATTTTAGTTCGTTTCTCGCATTTTCGGAGTGGGAAACAGTATTCAGTCAGTTGATTGATCAAACATTCACTAGAATGCAGTTAGTTTCTTCACATACATCTCAACTGTTTGTAAAATGTATTGGTAAACTACTTTGAAGAACAAGCCTGGTGCTGCTCGGTCAAAGTTAATATTTAGTCTAAGATAGCTGTGAACACTTGTCTCTAGAATGAAGTTTCTCCACTGATACTCATACATTCTGTCCGTATGAAAAAGAAATTACAATGGATTTTAAAATACTTACTACTAACTGTAGTTTTCTATAAAAGAAATAAAAGTTCAAACATCACTGAAGAGACATGTACCAAATTTACACTGACAATATGCAGTTCAATATGAAAAGTTCAGTTTATAGGCAATATTACACAGAAAAAAGCAAGGCTGTCAGCTTTAATTTGTTACTTCTCATTAGTGTCACATCAAATCCTCGATGTCTCCTCTCTGGCCGTTCAAACACTCTGTTGCAAGTGATCATATAATACTGTGCGATCTGGTCAAATTCAACGCATGCGTGGCTATACATCTGTTGTTGAATATCTGGTCATTTCGACTGAGTCCCTTTAACTTTCTCTATAAACGACTGATTCGCTATCTCTTACAGTTTTCATATTTGATCAGTGCATTGTATTATCATTCCTACCTCCGAAATGTTTGCATCTTTGCAAGCTGGTCTGCAAACACTGTGCTTCTCTAGAGAAACGTGATATGGTCAGAATCTTATGAGATGAAAGTCATCACAATCTTTTATGTAGTCTGTGTCTTTTACTACATTCAAGCAGTAATAAGTTGCATACAGAATCTTATATAACAATGATGACTGTTATGTGTGACCATGTATTCGATATTTTCCAGTACTTGCTTCGAGTTTCCCAGAAACGTCTTCATTTTCCTCCATAACGACGGCCACTTTCCACAGTGTTTTCTCTTAGCAATTACTATTATTGTGCTGTCTATCAACATTCCCCCCGCACAGACTAATTCATATCGATGGAATAGGAATACAGGTTGATTGTGGAAGACTACTTGACTTCATCTCGGCCTAAAGCTTGAGCTATTCTTGGTACAAGCTGTTGCAAGTTCGACAGAGGCCGTATACCGTCTCAAACTTCAACTGAGTCTTGTATTCGGAAGTAGCATATGAAACGAAAGTTTGGATGGTGCATTACACCACTCAAGAATTCTGTCTTACTTTTTCACAGCCCTCAAGTGGTTGAATGAAAGTGAACAGGTTTCGTATACCGAACCACTTGGAAACCACGCCATCAGAGAGTATCTGAAACTCCTAGGAAAATTCAAATCTTGACATGGAGAAATTCAAGACCACCTATCGGCTTGTAGCACAACTTCAACTGTTTTCTTAACAGACAAACCGATGAGCACGCATATTTCTTCCAGATAGTATGTTAACACAATGAGAAAAAATTAATACTGGGTGTTGACTGAAGATGAAATGAAAATTTAATCCGTGGCAGGATTCAAAACAGCTCTCTTGCTCACTGGTTCAATGCAAGTCTATGAAACCACGGCTATTCCTGGCAGTCAAACTGATAGAAAGATGAAGTTAAATCAAAACTCATGAATTAGTAAGTTTCCAAGTTATTCGATCAGAAACGAGAAAACTCACGTTTATGAATTGACCATTGTGTTCCAACATAAAATGGATAGGGGAAAAAATGGAACCGCTTTGTGAGGACTTCGAAAATGTAAAATACGCTTTTAAATTTTTTCGTCAGCATGCAATTATAGATTATTTGAAGAAATGGTCTGAAATGAGGAAAGTTACTTAGGTCTGTGCTCGACTTCATAGCTTGTCTAATAATTCAAATGTCCAGGTATGGTAGGCAAAATGTAAACCATCATATACTAGTAAAAAGTAAGTTGACAGCCGTGAACGCAAACTGACTACTTTCAAGAGTACTAAAGGAGAGAAATGGGGAAAGTGAAATGGGTCGTCAGACTATTGTAGTTACCTTTCATTGATCTGCTCACGGATTGTTGGCACATTCAAAGAAAAGCACGAGTGGAGACTTTTCATGTGCACTCAGGAAAAGACAAATTGCTTTTGCAACAAAATGTTAATGCAAAAAATGCATAATTTACTACTGACTTGACTGAATTTACACGACACCAAAAGTTTGATTGCGATTCAAGTATTCATTCGCAAAGTTTTCATTTATTCCTTAATGTCTCTAAATCAAACAGAAAGTAACACTTTCGCTTCATTGTGATCCGCTACACTTACAACTCAAGTATCAGAGATACTGAGTTTTACCCATCAGTGAAATACAAAGAGTTGGACATGAGCCGATTAAGAATTCTCTTAATACTGATAATCGCTGTGATTCATAAATATGATGGGCTCAAGGGAAAATGTGCTGAAAAACAGTAACCAGTTACTCCACGGTCGTCTCTGGTGATTTCATGTAGGAAATATTTCATGGAATTTATAATGATTTTACCCAATATTGGAAGAGCCATCAACCCTTCATGTTGGGCGGTTAAAATTAACTGTCTTTCAGCTCCTTCTTCTCCTTGTATCTCAATCATTGAAAATTCTCTCCTCCTATCTTCTGTGAAATGCATCTCGAGTGGCTGGTTCGATAACCCCTGGAATATCAACACACGGTCATTTTCACTACAGAATGATTTATCTAGCTCCCAATTCACTTCCAAACTTCTGCTTGGTTTCATTGTGATATGGGCATTTTTGATCCTCGGAACTGTAGGAAACAGACGAAAAAAATGTGAGGAAATAATCAGCACAGAGTCAGTATTCGCACTGACGTCTACTTGCATGAGTACTGAAAATGTGTGAGAATGAACTGAATGTCGTTGTTTTAAAAAAATTCTCATCACCCATAAATATTAACTTCATGTATAATAGCATCATCTAAGATGAGTGAAGTGAGCTATAATATGATTAAACGTTTATTCGAAATACAGTCTACTAACTTGGTTTAGAGATAGTACCTGCAATTCAACTTTAATACTGGCAATTGATAACACTCACCACGTTTGTACGTTAAGCTCCGGTGGTCAACGACGGAATTATAAATAAAACCCACATCCATGCCTACAATGCTGAATTGTTCAAATTCACAGGCTTTCCCGATGACATGCATATCTCCACTGGATGCGTTTCTTCTAACAGAAGTAGTGATGTCAAAACCCCAGTCAACATTCTGTTCCAAAACCAGCTCGTCGATATTGTCTTGATGAAATGGAGACCATCCGAATACAAGTTCGTTCGTTCTTTCCTGAATTAACCAGAACTTTGTTTCTTTGTCACCTACACAGAAAACAGGAATATATGTACGAGACGCAACCCGAATTCTCTCTGAAGTATGGATGAGCATAGTGACTGCATTATATAAATATTATAAAATGTGGATAAGCCAGCAGCATTCAGGCAAAGATAACTGTCCCAGTCACGATGAACTGAGGCAACCAGTGACTACATCCCTATATGTTACCTGGAGACAAACATGAATACTTTAGTGAGGCTGTTTGATAACGTCTGTTTGATAATGGCACTACAGAAGAACGTATTGAAAAGCATGTGTCAAGTAGGTACATACTGAGGATAAGCGACGAGCACAAAACCTAAAGCAACAATGAGCCTTCCAGCTTGGTCACCAAACTGCAAAATACTCAGCAAAACTGGGGAAGCATTCAAGACTAGATAACACAAAATCGGTTCCTTTCCACTGAATAATCAATCTACGAATAAAAATTGAACATTCCTCCTCCCAATAAAAGCTTGCCATCCGTCCCCAAGCTATTGAAAACTTCAAAAATACTTCCTTGACAAGTATTCGTTGCACCTATTATACTCAGTGTCACCAATGCACTTACCACCATACAGTGTCAGTGACTCCACAGTAGGAACGTATATGCTCACAAACACACCTCATATCCTGAATGAAAAAAACAACAAAAATCGCGACGTTCGCAACAAGGCAGGATTCGTATGACGAAAGTGTATGACACAGGTGAGTGTTCAAATGTCTACACACATGTGAACACCACTCGTGTGACACCACACACAGAAAAAGATGATGCACGAACATCTGATTGTTTGCACGTAACTAAGAGAAAGGTGTCTTACTCCATTGATGTATGCAGCCTTCCTCTCAGCCAAACACCTCATTCATCACGCATTCTTCCTCCTTAGTCCTTATCAAGTTCACGAAACTCTACTATAAAATAAACCATCAAACGCAATTGTCTCCATATTTCGAAAACCTAGCATGTTACAATATGGTTAGATAATTCAAATGTCATCATGCAACGTCAAATATTCAATCGTACCTGCTAGGTATGCAGCTTCATATTTCCCTGCAACTTTCTGTGACGGTGTGACTTCTGAATTCTCTGGAAACGAATTGAAGTTTACACAGAGAAACTCATCATTTGTCAATACAATATAAGTAATGTGAAGGAGTAACCACTCGTTCTTCTGTTGAAGGCTTGTATTTTAGACTATACGGATGAATGAAACCGAGCACACAATGGATGAGATGGGCAATATTGAAATTCTGAAGCAGACTATGCATTCGATGAAAGTGGAAATGAGAGGGAATTGTGTGTGTGCCGTGAACGTTAACACTTGATGAAGGTGTGGAAAGAAATAGATGGAAGCCAGCGAATTCGTAACGAATCGAGATTCAAAATGATTTCTACACGTTGACTTCTGGGATGTGAATGCACACACCATGCACAAATGACAAAGAGCATTTTCTTTATGAAAGCAATTAGTTAGGAACAAAATATAATCAAGGAAAGGAAAGCATAGATGTGCGGAAAAGGAAGAAATAACGATGAATACTTTATGCTAATCACTCAACATTTGCGTAAACGTCAGGAGACAAGAAAGAAAGATGTGGAACAGAATGTGAATAACTGTCCCAGAATAAATGCGAGTGCTGGAAATACCTCTAAGGAAATGAACATTCAAAGAATGAGGAGAAGAAAAACTGGCCACAAAAGGTAAGCATGACGAAGAAAAGAGAAATAAAACCAAGCTAGAAAATCAATTGAAGCCTACCGATAACTATTATAAATAAATCGAAAATATGCGACACCAAATGAAAAGATGTGAGAAGTGAGGAAAAGCAATTAGACAGAGAACCAAAAAAACAAGGGACGGACAAAAAGAAAATGAAAAACTGCCAGAAATTAGATAAAATAGAGAGAAGCATAACTGCAACAATCAACACAAATATTCTCAAATCATAATGATATCACTATACTCAAATGATAACATCAAAGCTGAAAGTAGTAAAAACAGACAAAAGCGATACGTCACCAATAGGATAGCTACAAAAGAAGCAAAAACAGATTTATCAAGAATAAATTATCATTATTATCTATCACTTGGGTTCCTATTGGAACGTAAGGCCTCAGTAGCACGTCGCCAATTCACTCTGTTCCCTGCAGTCTTTCCAACCTGGTTCCATAACTGCCCAGAAGCCCTCATTTCTTCCTCACACCATCTCCTCCATGTCACCCTCGACACCGACACCCAACTCGTTTCCCCTTTTGGGTTACTCTCGACGACCTGGCCTACTGCGTGATGTCCCCAAACGGTCTTCTCAGTATATGCCCAATCCATCTCTACTTTCCTCTGCACATTTGTTGGGTGATGGCATCTTGGTTGGTTCGTCTTCACGTCAGAGTTTCTTCTTGCTTATTCTTTCCGGCCATATGATCTTCAGTATCGAGCCAGCGTAGGCGGGAACTATTAATCTATGACTGTAGTTTGTTGAAATGCTTTTCGTAACGCACCAACTCTCTCAACCATCACATGAAACACTGACTTGACTGAATTAGTGTTGAAAATCCAGATCTTGTTCTTTATGCTGAGTGGAGTGGAGTGGAGTAGAGTGCAGTGCAGTGCAGTGCAGTGCAGTGCAGTGCAGTGCAGTGCAGTGCAGCAGATCTCCACACTGATTTCAGGTTATTGAGGACCTGTCCTACTTCTTCGATCCTGGCCTTGACGTCTTCATCTGTGGCACCTGTAGTTTAAATGATGCTGTCTAGGTGGATGGAAGAGACAACTTCCTTTAGGTTTCTCCCTATCATGGTGATTCGTGCTTTTTGTTGTTGTTTCGGTATCTTCATCACCTCCGTCTTCTCTACGTTCACCTGAAAGAAGTCCTGTCTTCGCTGCCTAGCCACTTCTGTCAACTTGTTGGCTTTCGCCAGTAGGTCTTCGAGTTTTCGTCATATTAAACATAAATCATCGTTGGCGAAATCCAAATCTTCTTCTGGGGTCTCCTCATCAGTCAAACAGCGTATGCCCCTCTTCTCACCCCTCACAGCTTTTCACATGATCCAGTATAGTCGACCACAATCAGGAAGATCATTGGTGATGGTAGGCGCAGCCTCGCTTTACTCCTGTCTTCACATCAAAGGGATCACTGAGCTTTCCATTATGAATCACTTGCCATTTGACGTCATCATATAACTGTTGAATGGTGTTGATAAAGGTTTGTGGCACAAAAGCCGTAGTGTTGAAGCAGTTGCCAAATGACTCCTCAGTCGGCGCCAACCAGGGCCTTTACAAAGTCGATGACTGCCATTCTATGCTGTGTTCTATGATGATACGTAGCGTTACAGTTTGATCTGCACACGATTTGTACTTCCTGAATCCAGCCAACCTGTTCCTGTCGTAATTTCGAATCCAATGCATTTTCCAGTGTCTCCAAGATGATGCGGCTTAATATTTTGCTTGCTTTGGATGGACAGCAGCATGATTCCTCGCCATTTCTTGCAAAGACTTCGAGTTAGACAAGGTAGCCCTTCTTCCAATCGGCAGCTACCTTTCCTTCTTTCCAAACCCTCTGTAGTAGTGGTGTGAGCATGTCCGCTGCTGTTGTCTCTGCATCTGTTTTCACTACTTCTGACGGAATTTCATCTGGTCCTGCTGCTTTCTCGAATTTCAGCAACTTTATGGTGTTCACTTCTTCGCCTTTTATCGGAGGGTCTGTGTTCACTTGGAATTCTTCGGTTTCTGATGGTATTTCTGGACGAGTTGCAGGTGATGGTGGTGGTCAATTCAAGAGTTTTTTGAAGTGAACAGCCCATCGCTCTCTTTGTTTCTACTCTTTGGTAACTATGTTTCCTTCACTATCTTTCATTGGTTTCACCTGCGTTGATCTCTTCCCAGATAGTAAGCTGGTTATTTGGTATCGTGTTGTCAGGTCTCTCCTACCGACAGCCTCTTCTGCTTCACTTGCCAATGTGTCGTAGAAGTGTCTTTTGTCTTTCCGCGCACTCCTCTTCACTTCTTTGTCCAGTGTCTTACACGTTGTACTCAGCTCTTCTTTTCGTTGTCCAACCCTGCACTGCACTGCTTCATCTTCTGCTTTACCATCTACCTCTCACTTCTCTATCAGCTTCCATATGTCCGTCCAGATCCATTCATTGTCTCGTTTCTTCCCCCTTCCTAACACGGTCTGGCAAGTTTCCTTCGACGTCTCTTTTAAAGAGTTTCAGTGTTTTCAGTTTCAACCAGTTCTCCACGGAGATGTTGCTTAGTGTCTCCCATTTTGACATGATAGCTGACGTGAACATGTCATTTGTAGTTAAGTCCCTCAGTTTCTGTTCTTGGCGTTGAACGTGAACTGTTGTCTATCACCAACTTCTGTGAAGGCTTTCAACTTGGTTTTAAGGTAGGTTCCTTGCACTAAATAGTGAGTGGTGTGAACCTACTTCTGCTCCCCTTCTTCATCTGATCTTGTGTCCAGTAGGCTGCTTCTCCACTTTCTTCACATTCAGATGAAGTCCATCTGATTTCTAGTGTGGTGTGTCCATCTGGTGAAATCAAATCCATGTCGCTCTCTTTGTGAACATCCTTGTGTTTGTATACACTGCCTCCAACCACCAAATCGCTGAATGTGCAGAAATCTGCAAACAGTTTTCTATTGTCATTCATTTCACGGAGTGCTTCTCGACCCATGATCAGTTCACTTCTTGTATTGTTCGATCCCAGTTTGGCATTCATGTCACCCCACCCATTAGAATTTCGATGTCGCAAACTGGAATCTTGTCCAGTACTGCTTGCAGTTGTCTACATAATTCCTTCTTCTTCTTCTTCTCTTTATCTGCATTATTTGTAGTTGCTTAGCGAGGTATTGCATGATTGTGACTTTCCTTCCTTCTGATTTGAAACTTGCTGTCATGATTCTACAGAAGGAGATTCGTTTCCACTGCATGAGAGCCCTTGGTGCTCTCGGGAACATCATGATAGTCACTCCATAACTCAGTGTGTTTGCGGCTGGCATCTAGGTGACAATAATCTATGACTCTCAACTTGAAGGTTGGGTGAGTCCACTTTCACTCCACCTGCTTCGCAGATTCCTTGTAATTCAATGCTATGCCTCCTCATCTCTTTTGCAAAATGGGCAGCCCTGCTAGCTTAATAAATTGTGCGGACATTCCATGTCACTGTTCTTAGATTCGCTCAAAAAGATGGATGAAAAATCGGCAAAGTGGCGTCCTGAATGCTTTCACCGAGTGCCGGCATTTAGTCTGACCACTTACAGCAAAAGATAAGTTTATTTTCACTTAAAATATTTGCCGTAAAATTAAGAAAAAGAAAAACAAACAAGAGGAAAGCATGATGAAAATCCACAATCGGAAAAGAGCAGACAAAAGGAGAAAAACTGAAAAAAAGATTGAAAAGGCATATTACACAAAAACAAAAAAGACATAGCCTCACCCTCGCGCAAACAGTGTTGCTCTGAAGGACCGACCTCATGCACACACAAACACACAAGTGTGCAGATAGTAGTGCTCACCTCACTGCACTCAACTGATTCGACGTGGACCAGGATCCGTGGTGCATGCAGATGTGACAGTGACAAAGTGAGTGTCAGAGTGAGACTGAGAGTGAGATTGCGAGTGAGTTTCAGAGTGACTGTCACTGCGAGAGTTGAGATAGTGAGTGATAGTGAGTGCAACGTTCAGTGTGAATGTGTATTTGAATGTGAATGTGAATATAAATATGAATACGAGTTGCATTTCGACTGGGAATTTGAATGGATGTATATGGTTGAGGTGGTCGTTCTATCTCATGGAATAGGTTGATAAGTGTACACAATGTGTGACATACATGTGGTGTGAAGAGCGCTCAAGCAGACCTTAGTGTACTTATAAACAGCGAAGAAGAATCAGAGATTGCAAAACCTAAGAAAAAGTGAGACAGAATAACCCATGAAATCCCCTAGAACGACATCTCAGCAAATGACGTATTAACTTTCAAATAAACAGACAAAACAACACATGCACTGAGTCATCGAAATCCACCTCGAGGATACATGTCACCGTGCATACAATGCTGTATCTGTGTCCGAGTATATCACCACAAA